ACGGGAAAACTGTTGACTAACGCCTATCTCCTTTCCCTTTAGATTTCCGCAGGACATCCTTACTTTCTCTCTGTCATCAAAAGATGTGAATTTAACTATAACAGGTCTTGTCTTTGTTGGGTTATGCTTTCCCATACGCTCAATTTTATCAAATTGAATCTCCTCCGCACTGTCAACTTTCATATCATCCTTGATAATACTAGTAATTGTCTTTTTTATTTTCTCACAAGTCTCGTTCTTGTCATCTGCGACTTTGAAAAATAACAAAATTGTTCCTGAACTCTTTACACTTCAACTCATTTATGTAATCATCACATTCCTGCTTCTTTGTTTCTACTTTATTCAAATTGCTTACAATAGATTCAAGATCAATTTGCTTTTTCTTCAGGGCATCGACTGTCTCGCTGTCAAATTCAACGACTTAATTCAAGTTCTTTGATCTTATTGTCTATTTTGTCGACCTTTTGCTCCAAGTTTTTGAACTTTAACCGTTAATCCGACCATTATTACTCTTTATTTCATGAACAGCAGATAACTGTTGATCAATTGCTGTTAGACGGTTTAATATCTGACTAAACTGATCATGCCCTGGAGGTCCTTGAGGTGCTGGAGTACTTGTCAAATGGTAAGCCGGTAAATTTGGCCCAAGGGGTGACATTGGTTGACCTAAATTCATAATATTTCCTCCGTTTTGTCCAGAAAATGGCGAGCTTTGAATTTGAACTTGTTGTCCTGGTACATTTATAAGTCATATTGTTCATATTTTACTGGTTGGCCAATGTTTTGGTTCATATAATTCCCACTATTTCCTGTGTTTACTGCATATTGTCCGTCAGATGTATTCTGCACTGTGAAACTTTGTGACATACTTGTTTTCTGTTGTTTTCCCTTTGTTTGTTCTTTGTTCGTCGTTGGTGACGATTTCGACTTTTTACGTTTTTTCGATTTGTTGTTCGTCATAGGAATTGTTGTTTACAGCAGCATGTTTTCAGTTACTTCAAATTAAAGAATTGATATAAAATCCTCATATAAACACTCAATATAACACTTTAAATCCGATTTTTCACTTGATATTTATCAGTTTTTTTTCAAAATACCTAAAATTAAATAGCCCGTAAACATAAAGGGGAACTGTTTGGCATTGGATTGCATTGTTATAAATCTATGTGTTAACCTGTAGTTAGAAAGAGGCAAGATATATATAAAGAGGGGGTTAAGCGTCCTGTCTCAGTTTAAAACGAGTACAGAGTAATGGACTTTCCTCGTCGAAACGCTTCCCCTTTATTTTTCAATTTTCACAATTGGGCAAAATCTTAAACAGACCGTCAAAGTAGCATTTTATTCGGGCTCCTCACAAGGTATGCAGTGCACAGCTGACAATTATTCCGTCAACAGCCATTAAACCCACCTTGTTTAAAGGTCATGACTTATGAAGAGGTTTTAAAGTACTTTTTTCTCAAGCATATCCATTTACCTATGTTTAACTCTAGTTGAACCACAGTGAGCAAATTTACATAAAATGTCGGCCATTATTTTTTATGTGTATTTAGTATTGGCTATATATTTTTATACAACGTTAATCCAAAACGAAAATATGTTCAGTATTGAAAATGGAACCATTAATTAGATTTCAACATAACGTGGATGTGTTTCGCTTTCTTTAAAATCAATACGGCATCATGGTTATATCAATACTTATTTACCTTTCACATACATATGTACATGTACTGTTTTCTATTCAAAAAATTTAAATTGGGATAACAAATTTTCAGAGTCGGGTAATATAAACATGTTATTAAAAATAAAAGGAATAATGTTTTCTGGGGGATGCTTAGCCTTTTTTTTTAAGTCGCTGTAAATAAAAAATTTTTAAACCAAAAGTTTTAAAATTACTAAAAAATGTTTTAAAAAAAAGAAAAAACAATTTTGAGCAAAAGAAAAATGATATACAAGTAATTACACAAAAATTTAAACTATTTTACATTTCCATAAAACTCAACATGCATATACAGCACCAGTGATCAGAAAATGTGATCACTTTAATCTCGAAAAAAGTGTTTGCAAATGAACTAGTATGGATTTGCTATCGATTCATTTACAATTTTTTGTCTGTAAGTTAATTATTATGCATTATAGATGGCATCAGTGTTTGATTTCACACTTGGATTCCGTCAGTGGTCGTTATTTTAACCCCGTCTTGCGTTTTTCTGATATGTCTCCAAAACAGCAAACATGTCTTCACCAGCGCAGCAACCCCAGATATCGCAAGCAGAACGATAGTAATCGTTGTATTGCGAGCACCTGCTTCGTAGTTCTTCGTTAAACTTCCGGTCAATGCCATGACGAGAACGATATATGGCGTAAATGTGTAGCGCGTGTAACGATCCAAGAAAACCCAATCGGTCACCAAGAATACAACAATAGCGGCGGACAATATACTGAGGCTTACTGTAGAAGCATTTTGTTGACCGATGTCATGGGAAGAACGATATGTGAGAACAATTGCAAAATTAAGGAGGGTTGCAATGGTACACCAGGTGGCGTACATACTGAGACCGTTTTGCACCAGAAAACGGGTAAGCCAAACATCCGTTTTCCTTTCCTGTTTAATTAAGATGTCAATTGATCTGTCAAGATATCTGTAAGAGAAGAATAGACACACATATAGAGTAACAGTGATCAGGAACAGAAGAACCGCGGCGAGTTCAAGTATCTCCCTGTCAAAAGATATCAGCCATCCACAATTGAAGACCAAGTTCAATAAATACGAAACTAAGAACGGAACCGGAAGTAGCACTGGGTAAGTGTAGAACGGTCCCTTTTCTGATTTCCGGAATAAATTGACCAATGCATAGACAATCCAGAGTGCCTGCCATGTGTAAATGATCCCCCAAATGCTGAAAGTCCATCCGGACGGTGTGATTTCAATGTAGTATTTGTCCGAAATTGTGCCTGTATCCGAAACGAACAAATCTGTAATAAAACGAAATGTATAAATACATTAAATACAATAAAGAGGATTTGGCAATAAAGAAATGAGGCAATAACTTTCATCTCGATAATGTAACACTTGAACTTATTTGAAAAGTAATAAATTTTCAGCAAATATGAGATGAATATGTGTTGTTTCAGTGGCAATGGTGTTAATTGTGAATGTGCATTATTTCAGTCACAGATGGGCATCTGTGTAGAACCGCCGACGTTCCGTAAGCTAGCTGGATAGCTTTCTCACATGAAATAATTTTAAGACGCTTGCTCAGCTTGTGCCTATAGCGTTGAGGGGCAAAGGGTTTGAAATCAATTATCTGAACCACTCGACCACGGACGCCCCTATGATTACATTTAGAACAAGTTAAAGAATAGAAAGAAAAACTTGTGTATTTGCTCTGAAAAAGTTTTTACTTTGAAAATGTCACTGTAAACTTGTAATTGTCATTGTATTTATTAATAGATAGCATGCAAAAACAAGCACTATATGTTATCTTCTTTTCTTCTTTTTTTTTTTTTTTTTTTTTTTTTTTTTTTTTGACAATTTCATTGACTTTTCTAATGTCGACGGTACTACTCCACAGATAGTCCAAATTATTTACACAAACAAGTTGGTCATAAATTCCAAAATTAAGCATAAAATCAGAAACGATAAGCATGTTTTATATAAAAACCTCATACTCTATCGTAAGAAAATATTTACGGATGAAATGACATTAATTTCCATAAAAATTATTTATTGAGGTAAAGAATTTAAAATATGTAAATGTGCAAGAAAAAATTTGTTGACATCTATTTGCGGTTCAGTTCGTTAATATCCATCCCTCGGGCAAGCCTCGTTACCGCCCAATGGACGGATCCCCTCAAGACGGATATTCCGATCTGAACTGCAACATATGACAGATATAAATATTCTTACCGGTGTCAGCGCTGCCTAGTGCGTTGAAGACTATGGTGGCGATGTAGAAGCAAGGAACCAGCAAGGTAAGAATCAGCAAAACAATGTTGTGTCCCATAATTCTATGTCTTGATAGAACTCTTGTACAGCGAAATCTGAAGAAAAACAGAATCGTGAAATAAGGAAGTCACTCGGCGATCGTTATAAAATTATTCATCTATAGAACATGCTTGAATATTCAAGTAAAACGAAATAAAGGGTGTAAACTTTTCATGCGTATATTTAACTTCCATTAACTTCCATTCAAAACAGTTCGTGTGTTTCACATTATTACCATAAGGACAGTGACGTCATAATAATCCATGCCGCTTGTTATGACATTTGTGTTCTCACGAGCACGTGCATTACAATCCGTCAGAGTAGCACATTAACGTAATTGATTTTTTGTGTCATCCGTAAAATAAATTTGAACCCCCTCCCCCTTTTTAAGTTAATTATTGTAATGTTGTTATGACATGTGTTTGAAAACACGTGACGTCATTAAGCGCGCGAATTTACCCGCCATTTAAAGTGGTGATATTGGTTTTAGAAGCATTTCTTATTCATAAATTGCATTGTTTATGTTATAGTCGTTTTATTTGGGAAAAAAGATAAAAAAAAAAACGTGTATTATTTTACGACAATGCAAGAAACATTTAAGTGACAATGTGCTTATTTTTACACTGTCAAGTTGTGTTGTATTAGTTATACATTTCAAAAGATTGCCTATTAAAGTGGTGATTAATCAATAATTGATAAATGTTATGTTTGACGTATAACAAAGGCTAGTCGATGAATACAAATTATTATTACCTAATGCCTTCTACCAATACTAATCCTTATTTACAACTGTTTAATAGTACCACTGAAAGCATGTGCATGCGCAATGAAATGAACCGTTGACCGGTCAACGATGTCATCGGGTATTTCCGTTAAGTAATTGATTCGGTAATCGAACGTCACTCAGTAGTGTTTTTTTGGTAGGATTCAGTTGTAAACAGTTTACAATAAAAACAGTTGTAAAAATGGTAGAAGAATGTTGTTGCAATATATATTTTAGTTTGATTGCAAAGCATTAGATAATAAAAAAGATATTTCATAGGTGTTTGTGGAAGAGTCAAAACAGGGATGACAAATTTGAACTGTTGCTAAATTCGGCATCTGGCAACAGTTACAAATGACATCCTAGATACCTCGGGACAACAGATTAGAGTATTCCACAAACACCCATGAATTATCTGTTTATTGTATACGCGTACAGCGAGTATTACAATGTATTATAGAACTCTAGTTGTCTTACTTTCAAGCAGACATCTAGGGCTATACGTTTCCTAAGTATGAATTAGTTAACCGTACATTGTTATCCTTTTTTGTAAATTCTTTAGCAATCGGCAACGTAAACGCATTTCGGAATCTGTGTATTTACCCTTTTATACAGATATTTAGATAATTCTATAGTAAATGCAATGTCAAAAATATTAATTTAATTCAGACCAGATTCTAAATAAACAAACGTAAATAATTTACCTTCAAAATATAATCTTTTCCTTCTTTGAAGTTGTTCTCAAATAAAAAAAACTTAACATAAAAATCCCGATGCTTTCCTTTTTCCAGTACCCAACAATATGTGAAAGTGTTCTTTTGTTAGTAAACATTGACGTGATGTGTTTTATAATATTGACCACATGTTCAACAACGTGATCTATTGTATTTTCCTGTAGGCGATTGGTTTTTCACATGTAACGGTCAAGTGATTTTGTTTACCTGCACGTTTTGACAAAGTATAGGTGTAAGACGATAAACTGGGTTGAATTATAAATCACAGTAGAATAGTTGGCGTATTATATTGTAGATAACAGATATAAGCAGCTCCTTTATACTTGAAATATCACTCATGCCTTTAAAAATTAGGTATTCTGTAACAAATACAATTTCAATGGATTTACATTTGATCCTTTTATATCATACACCATTTGAAAATTAGATCTTTTATCTATTGCTGCATGTTAAAATATTGGTAACTTTCCTTGCCTTACACATAGAAAAACTTAGCAGAACATACCCACTGAGCAAGTTTTTTCGTCATATGAATAGTTTTGTAACAAAAATTAATAAAAAGTTCTCTTTAAAAATGGATGTATCATTTATTAAAATGGGAACTGTAAATGTTTTTACATGCAGCCATAGATAAATGCATAAGCTTTCAGAAAATGTATTATTTTACTGCTTTTGATATCTGGTAAATAAGTTTAACTTGCTACAAGTTTTAAGTCTATCAAACAAGCGGCTAGGAAATGCCTATGTCTCTGTTATGGTATTGTAATTGTGTTTATCCACGATAAAACACTAATTATGTAGCCTGGCATTTAATGCCCCAGTCACAAATAACAAATACACGCCGGACGGCGTCTGTTTTCCACAAAAAAAAATCACAAAAAATATCGGTAGCTAGGCGTTCGTCCGGCGGCAGCGTGTATTGGATGGCAAAATTTTGCTAATCGGGCTGGCGCCGTCGAGTTTTAAGTACAACTTTAAAGTTTAAAGCTAACGGGGTCCATAAGACAATTTTTAGGGTCAGTGAGTTAAAAAAAATCATCATGCAGACACCGTCCGGTCAAAGGGCGGTGCCCAGGCGATGTTTTTTAATCGGGCGATTGATTTTGATACAAAAAACAACGCCCGATTTTAAAGGCACCCGGGCGGACATACGATGAACTATATTCGTTATTTGACAAGGTATAAAGCTTTTGCATGTTGTATACGTTCAAAATATAAAACCATTTGCAAAAATAATTCTATATTAACATTATAGACCTTTTACGACGCAGTCCGTTGCTATGAAAAAATCGACCGGATGAAATTGTGGATATATTTTATTTTCTTAAAATATTAATACGTTTTTCTTAAGGTTGATTTTCTTGAAATATTTTGTCTCATCTGCAGGCATGCAGCTTTAAGAAAAGTATGCAAACGCCTTCGGTCTCGGTAAACGTCACATAAGCTAAGTTCATAGACCTATAGGTATTTATATTATTCGCCGTTGTCGAGCCGTTTCTATGGAGAAGACTATTAACATCAAAATATGTTTGAAGTTTATTCAGATTGTGAGCGTTACATTTTTCAAAGTTTAAACTGAAACCCCCAATAAATAGCCATGTTTTGAAGCGTCTGCTCTCTTCTGTTTCCATCAACCGGAAGTCCGTGAAAGGTACAGGACAACTCTCAGATGAACCTATGTTGGAATACAAATTAAAGTTCTAAATGTATCAGTCAAAGAGAAAAATAAAAAAATAAAGGCCTTATTCTTCTTAACATATACATGTGTGTATATAACCTTTATATATCTTAGTAATGATATATTTATTAGGGAACAATATAGTTATATTGACAGATATCTATAAATCACTGTTGTAATAGTAAATAAACTACCTCATCAACTTGGATATTTACAACAATTTATTGCTATTATGACCTATGTGTTTAATTAAGTATTTCCCTATTCTATATAAGTCAAGAAAAGTTTACGTATAGGAAATAATTGAAACGTGACACTTTCCTGTAGTATACTTAAAAACGGATGCGTAGCTTAATGGTATCTACGTATGACAACAAACAAGCATTGCGAGTCCGAATCCGCGAAACTTAAACTAAAAGTGAGGAAAGTTTATGGTTAAATTGTCGCAACAGTTTAGATATACGATATTTATTTTTCTATGAACCTATCCGCTAATCATTTATACAAATATTACTAAATTACCCAATTTATAATTGATAATAAATCAAATATGATCAACTAGTTTAAGTAACACAAAATATGGCTCACAGCAAAAATGATTTTTGCTGTATCTTATTCAAGTACATGTACATACGTACAGACACGCACACCACAAATATTTTTAAAACTATATAAATACGAGTTATATTTTTAGGTATAGTTCGTATGGTACATACGGATTACGAAAAAAAGAATCATTTGTCGAACATTGAAATCACAGACGGGAGATTATATATTTACCTTTTTTGCTTACAACTGCATGGTGAGACAAATTATTTGAAGGAAAGAAAATGAAAGTTGAGAAAATGTATAAGGTTTAAAAGAAAGTGAAAAGATTGAACATTCAAGTAACATTTAAGTTACAATTTAATTTGCGTTAATTTACGTGTAAATTACTTTCTTTGTTCATTTCATTATATTTCAATTAAAAATATATTTTCAAAGTGTTTATGAAAGTAAGCATAAATCGGGAGGCATATTGCTTTAAATATGCATATTGCTTTAAATATATTCTTAAAATAATAATAATAATAATTACCACATTTCTATAGCGCCCTTCTCAAAAAAAAAATGTTCAAAGGCGCTTTACAATGGAATTATATACATTTACAATGACTTTATAAACAAAAAAAAAGTAATAAAAATAATAACACACATTTATGTATACATTTAAAAAGTATAAAATATACCATGATTAATCTAAAACTCTAAAACTCAGTCGATCAAATAAAAAAATGTATATGAAGGATAATCTAACTTGAAACTGATATCAACTGTTTATTTAAAAGTGCTACAAGTTATGTTTTGGTGGTGATGGTGGTGGTGGTGATAGTTTACCCTTCGGATCACGGCAGTAGGCCACAGTGACTTTGAACCCACCAGAGGACGGTTAAGTCATCGCATCGTTCTTTGGCCTGCTATCATTCAGTTTACCAGTACTAGTGTCTTCACTTTCGCAAGGAACTAAAAGCTGCTGTATATGCCAGAGCAGAGGTACAGTGCGAATGAATGTAAAAATTAACAACCTTGGAAAGGGGAGCGACTCAAATAACCCCGAGTGTCTGTAAGGCTTATACATGTATCATTGTCTCCCTAACGTAAGCACTATATAGTTATAGCCAGCCCGCATAGCTCAATCGGTTAGAGCTTAAGACTTGTAATCTTGGCATTGTGGATTCGATTCCCGGGCTGACCAACTTGAGTTACTCAATCAGTCTTTCATGGAGGTTCCATGTACGAGTCCTCAAACACTTGATACCCTAAAGAACCAGGAGAAGCTTCTGGGATTGGGACATATTTCTGTATAGCTCGGTATCGTGCACTATCCTCTAAAATCTAAAATGACCAATACTGGAGAAATGATGTTTCCAAACTATTACAACGCTTTCCGAATGATGATTGTTCATATGTACAAACCACTCTTAAATAGGTGATGCATGGTAAATACATTACTTTCAAACAAACATTTTGCAAAAGATACCGTAATAATAATAATAAGGGTTATACGCCCCTTGTATGAAGATCCTGTCGATATACAGTTCAAACAAACATAGTATATTAGATATATACAACGGAAATACGTCACCGTGATTGGTCAATTCAGAGAAACAGTGGTCTAAGTTGATCTTTTTCACGTATGGCCATTAACATTTAGCCAGATCTTCCTTTTAGATCTATACTTTTACCAATAATAACATCAGTCTATAACTGTCGAATTTATACTATACCAATTCACCATTTTGCTTATGTAAAGTAAAAACCTTTTAATTTTAAGCTTGCACGGGTTGAAAGAAATAATAACAGTGTTTTCAATTATTTTCGTGTATTTCTTTTTTTAAAAATGTTATCAAGTTTTCCATTGAATTTGTACATCTGAAATATTTTGCGTAAAGTTATAAACAAATATGTACAAAAAGTCACTATCCCACTGGGGGGAATTAAGGATGTGATGTACTAGCATAAATAATAGTTAAAATTTTGTTTTGCAATTACGTTTTTACAAGCATTGTCACTTGAGAAAATAAGCAATGAGACAATTACATGAATACATAACAAATAAGAACACCATAAATATCAATTATGCACTTTAAAATGTTCAAAAAGACCCAGTCTTGAGATTCTGCAGAAAATTAAAAAAACTCATTTGTAATTAGTAAAAATGTATCTGTGCAAAAAAGTATTTAATGGCAGTAGTTGCAACTAATTACATTTAGGAGACACACACACGGCAATAAATTTAACAGTTATAACTGTTTTACTTTTCAGATATATATGCAAATCGACCTGGTATACTTCATTTGGTAAAAGGTGCTTATTTATGGCACTATCACGAAAAATAGAATCATAATGTTGTTTGATAACCGAACGTTCTTCAGACTCTAATACCAGTAGAGTCGGTTATTTTGACACCATCTTCAGTTCTTCTGCAATGTCTCCAAAACATCAAGAAAAGTTTCACAAGCGCCGCAACCCCAGATATCGCAAGCAGAACTATTGTAAATATCGTGTTCCTCGCACCAGATTCATAGTTATTAACTAGCACACCATAAAGAGCCCAGACCAGGACAAGGTAGGGAGTGAATGTGTAACGCGTGTACCGGTCCAAGAAAACCCAGTCTGTAACTAAAAATAGCAGTATAAAACCAGATAAAACGCCTAAAGCGATTGTAGACGAATTCTTAACTCCAATGTCGTGTGCAGATCTGTATGCGAGAACGAATCCGAAATTCAAATGAGTAGCTATGGCTGTCCACGTGGCGTAAATACCGAGTCCGTTTTGTACTAAAAACCTTGTCAACCAAACGTCAGACTTGCGCTCTTGTTTAATCAAAACGTCTATCTCTCTATTCAAATTTCTGTACGAAAAGAACAGACAGATAAGAAGTGTTACCACGATCAGGAAAAGAATAGCTAGTGCCAGCTCTAGTTGTTCCCTGTCAAAAGCTACCAGCCATCCACAGTTCAGGGCCTGATTAACGAGGTACGACACTAAAAACGGGACCGGAAGTAATACAGGATTTGTGTAGTACGGCTCACTCTCCCTCTTCCTGAATAAATTTACAATGGCGTATAAAATCCAGAGTGCTTGCCATGTATATATTACGCCCCAGATAATGAATGTAAATCCTGGCGGGGTAATTTCTAGATTATATTTGTCCGACAGCTCAGACGTGCTTGATTTGTACAAATCTGGAAACAGAAAAAAATACTGTAACAGTTCGAGACTGATTCAGTGTAGAAGTGTAGAAAAAATGAACATTGATTTCACAAAATTAATCCCTGCTTGCAGAGTTCTTTATTATTTAAATTATGCAAACTTCTATCTATTAAAGTATCAATATTTTGCAGATTTTAACATATAGACATCAATAGCAAATTTAAAATTATTTTTTTTGCCCGAAAATACAAGATTAAATAAGTCTTTGAGGGGTATGGAAAGGTTAATTATCAAATACGACTACCATTATAAAATATAATTTCAGAATAAATTATATTGAAATGGCAGGTGAATCATTTCTCAATAAAGACATTCAGAGATTGAATATCGTAAGCTCACCATTGTTTTCAACACTGGCAAATCCATTGAAGACCATCGCAACCGCAAAGAAGCATGGAATCAGCAAGGTTAAAATAAGCATGGCTGTGTTATGTCCCATCTTGGCGACGTCCTATAATTCGGATAGAACATATATTAATTACGTATACATGTATACAGAGTCGAAATCGGTACGTACGATAAATGAATTGTTTCTAACAATGTTTATCAAACAGGAGGTAAATAATGTCAACCTAAAATAAATAGTTTTAACTTCGTTTCATATTTAAAGCAACATGCTCCCATAATTATGGTATTTAAAAAAAAGAAATGAATCAAAATTTGAGAGAAAACAGTATAAGTACAAGACTATTTATGTTAAAAAATGTAAATCCATTATTAATGACCTCTAATTTCAAGACAAAAGTTGATAAAATCGTCAGTAAAACATGTTGGGCAAGCCATAAAATTATCTTTGTTTCCCCTTCCGCGAACCATGACATATTGAGTAGGGTAGGTAGGTTGATAAAGAAAAATATGTTTTTTATATCCTAAATGATTCTCACTAATACTCTCTGCTTCCATCGAGCAAAAAACTTCCCTAGGCAACTAAATATTTTGGGTATCTATGATTTTGTGGGCATATAGTGGGAGGGGAAACAAACAATATTTCATTTTAGCCTTTTTTTATTTATTTTATTTTTTACATAATACACTGCGTTAGTAACGCAGTAACCGATAAAAGATAGTAACTAACAAGTATAAATATTTGTGACAAATTTAGTTATATCCAGTAAGCTATCCTAAGTCGATATTAAATGTTTCAGAAATTAATATTGAACCTGAACAATAAACCATATGGAAATATTCTGCATTTCTATTATTATATTTTATATATAATAACACCAAACAAATAGATAACGTACTATGCAGCATTATCGATAAATTAATAATATTATTTATTAGAGTTTTGTAAAATAAAAGCGCAAATAAAACTTACTTATTTTCTTTCTTCCACTGGAAGTATCGTAATTTTATATCCTAAGTTCAATAACAACCTCAGTTTATCACAACAAACGTTCAATAACCAAAGAAAGCACTGCTCGTTTTTATTATATAAAGTATTTAAAACACGTGTTACGAATCGTGATACATGCTTGAGTTGTTGATAAACTATATCGACAACACAAGCATCGTTTGTAAGGTACAAAAACACTCAGGTTATATAAATTGAAATTTATTTATATAACGCAAGTTTAAAATCTAGAACATGAGCTCATCGGCTAAAACACGTACCAAAACCGGATTACCATCATTTGAATAAGACAAGTTTAAGTAAACAGTGGACGTTTATTTCAAACTTTAACGGAATAGAGAAGATTGTTGACTTATTTTTATGTTATGATATAAAAACGGGTTAGTGAAAAATGTTATATAGCAGTAAAAGGCTAAACATTCTTTTTATATCAGGCGCGGACCCAGAGGGTGTCACCATTTTTAACAAAGTGAAATGCACATTCCAAAGAAGTGTTACATTTTACTAGATTTTAGGAGTAGTCATGAGTCAAGTTATTGCCCGATTACACTATAATTACACAAGTATACACCATTTAAAGCTAATTTGTCATTATTATATCTTGTCGTAATATTTCTGTTTACTTACAGTATTTAAAGTTATCGAATTATAAATTCATACCATGAAAAAGAAGAACCCAAAGAAGCATTTATAAACGTGTTTATTGTAAAACGGTTAAGCCATACAGTAAATTGTCCGATGAAGAAGGTAAATGCCGACCCCGCCCCCATACACACGCATGCACACTGTAGAGTCCGTTCTTCATTTATAAAATTTATTTCTTAAACAGTATGTTTTAAGCTTAGCTTAAGAAAAACTATAGGTACGTATCACAGTATAAGAAATACAATGTACAATTATTTTTAAAGATTATTGAGCCTCACTGTAGATTCGCGCACGCAGTATATTTATTTTTATAAGTTTTAGAACTAGTAGAAAAACAAAGTACTAAATTACAAATTGGCTCCCTTTCAAATATGATAAGCATTTTACGAAATCTTGTTTTTCATTAATGCAGTTTATAAGAAGGGAGACAGCACTGGCATTTGTACTAGTTATCTCCCTTCAAAAATTCAATTTTTTTTTACCCATGTGGGTGCGATGACTCGCATGTTGTACAATGACACGCTTAGGATGACGTAATGTTACCGTAATGAATGAAGTTGTAATTTACGGACATTTCAACTTCATGAATTCCTGATTTCAACATCATGAATTCACAATGCAACTTCATGAGTTCACAATTTCATCTTCATAAATTCCAGATTTCAACTTCATGAGTTCACGATTTCAACTTCACGAATTCACAATGTTAAATTCAAGAATTCACAATTTTAACTTCACGAATTCAACTTCGTGAATTCCCGATTTCAACTTCGTGAATTCCCAATTTTAACTTCACGAATTCACGATTTCAATTCAATGAAAATCGTGAATTCGTGAAGTTGAAATCGTGAATTCACGAAGTTGAATTCATGAAGTTGAAATCGTGAATTCATGAAGTTAAAATCGTGAATTCGTTAAGTTTAAATCGTGAATTCATGAAGTTGAGATCTGTTGAAATCGTGAATTCGTGAAGTTGAAATCGTGAATTCATGAAGTTGAAATCATGAATTCGTAGAGTTGAAATCGGGAATTCATGAAGCTAAAATCGTGAATTCGTGAATTACGTATGTTAAAAACGGGAATTCTCGTAGTTAAAGTTGTAAATTCATGAAGATGAAATCGGGAATTCATGAAGTTGAAATGCCTCTATATAATGGAATATGGTAGAATATTTAAAAGGCAACAACATAAGTCAAGTGTTTCGTGTTTCATGTTTTTATGGATTTTTTTGTTGTTTTTTTTTTCACATTTTTTTTCGCAATTTCGCTTCGCGGGGCGCTCAGTCCGAAAACACAGCAAAATTTCAAAATATGTAAGTTTGAAAGCGATATTCGGTTACTTTTTTATTTATATTTGAAGAGATATTTCTTATATTTGTACAACTGTAGATTTTATGTTATCTTCTAGACGCAAGCTGTTTAAGGCACATTTTATTGGTAACAATCACGTCTTATCTCGTCCGACGTCATGGATATTGTGCAATACAATTTCTCTTACGTCATAGACACATGACGTCACAGACCAATCATGAACGTTAGCGTTAGCGTCAAAGTGTACCATAGTTACAAACAGCGCGCATTCAAAAGTAAGATAGATGATGTTTTATTCATATTTTGCGTGACAAACGACTGATAATGGCACAAACACTAGATTCTAATATAAGAGGAGAAAACAGTTATAAAGGTGAATATTTTACAGTTACTGTATATTTATTTCGTAGTTGAATTTACGCGACGAATTTGATCGAAATAAAGAAAATTTAGTTAAATTTTATAAGATTATTTTTTTAAATATATGCGTGAATTGTATTATGATATATTAATACATGTATATTATAAAAATGAAATGCCATGAATTGTCTTTGCCTGTCAAGTTTCCTTGCAATTGAAGTTTATTCTTAATATTTTTATTTTTTTATTTAGTTTATGTGCATAGAACCGTACAAAAACATTTGGTATTTTGTATAAAACATTTTAATGAAATGATTTGTGAATTTCAACAGGAAATAAAATAAAACACAATGGTGACAATGACAATTTTCAGGGATGAATAAGTGACTTATTGTCGCCTGTCGAGTAAAGATTATACCCTGAACCAAAATTATATACAAATACTTGATAATGATATCATCTCGTTTAATCGCCGTTAAACATTTTGAACCTGCAATAAAAGTTAAAAGTGACGTCAATAGTCAAAAAAATGTTCTCTAGGAAAACTTCGCATAAATGAAAGGTTGCAAGGAAAGAATTTTGAATTTCGTAACAAGGTTTCGGCTCGAACTCACGATCCAAAGTTCCTAAGTTGAGAGGCAGGCAGTTTAACCGTTATGCCACTTTCACGATTGCCCATAACCTATCTGAATATTTTAAAGTAAATATTATTAATCAAGCCTTTTAAAGAACGCTTTTTCATTTTCTTTCCCAAAATGAAAACTTGCGGGGGTTTGAGATACCCGTCTGGTAAGGTCCCGAAAGTAAGCATTGCCAGATAAGATTTATAAATTCATCAATTGTACCTTTTTATTACTTTAAATGTACACGGAGTTCCGGAATGACTGATATTTGATGTTTTATTTATTTATTGCAGGACTGTTGTTAAATTGTTCCCATCATTCTGGTACAGCGCTGGACTACGAGGATTCAGAAAGTCTGTCAACAATCGAGGATGATTATCTACATAACACAGCAGACACGGCAAACCCTTCAGATGTAAACGTTGTTCCTATTCTTCCGAAGTCTTCCGAATATGTAAATTCGTCTGCCCTCTTGCCTTTTAGAGAAGAAAAACATCCATTGCAGGAGGGCAACGTTGAATATTTGCAAGCCAAAGCAAAATCAAATACCAGAAATATCTGCAAAATCTTGCAAGGCTCCAAAAACCTTGATGTCCTTGACCTTCAGCGTATTTCAGAAAAGTTTTCAAGAGCCGAAGAGAGAAAGTTAGAAGGTATTTTAATTAGTCATATTTACATGTAGATCTATCATTACAATCAAAAACATTTTCTCTTGCAAAAATAAAATAAATAAATAAAAAAATAAACACGTGTAACTTAAACTATTTTTTACAGAATGTTAATATTTCAAAGAATCAATTAATTTACTAATGTATATGTATATTTTTTCAGAACACGTAAAGGTCGTACATGAAAGAGATGGATTTAATTTCGACGTTGTTACAAAAGTAGACAAACTTTTAGAGGAGGCCTATAGCATGTTACATACATATCAAAGTAAGCAATAGTTAAAAACTTCCATTGTATTTTGTACATCTTTTCAAGAATTAATTTGCGGACGTAAATATCGGTTGAAAATAAGATTCAAGTTAAACACGTTTTGTCTTTTTTACACTATATTTAAGAATGTCCCGCTAGATTACTTAGCCAGCTTAGCATTACAGCAGAACATTGATTTCCCTATATAAATTGTAAAGGTTAGTGCTAAGCTAACTGTTCACTGCTAACTTCTCACATACTATGTAAAAGGTGTTATTTCACTTGCAGACAAGCTAGACTTCACAACCAGACTTAAGCTTCTCAAGCTGATCCTAGCTTTGAACGAGCTTCCACATCTACATGTATCTACACATAGGGGGAAAGGAAAATCTGCACGTGTTACTGATTGGCTGAATAAGTGCACGAGCCATCCCGAGCCAGAATTATGCGGTTTTAGTTTGAAAGATCCGGTTCATATCAGAAAATTTGTAACGGACATCTCGCCAAAGATGTCTTCCAGTGACACAAATATCACTCTTGGAAAGCGGAAACGAGGCTTTGAGGATAATATGAAAGATGATGTCACTTCCGGTCTGAAAAGTAGTTCCGATACTTGTGTCTGCGTTCATGCTGATTGGTCGAGAAATGGCGCTGGAGGGAAGCGTAGGAGATTGTTTAGTAATTGAGTGTAACATTTTGTTGGATTGTTTGACATTACTTTATTTACATAAAATCATTGTTTATTTTCTTTCTGATTGTTTTTTTTATTTATAACAAGAAAAAATAAAAAGAAGAAAATATATTTTTCACCAGAAACAACTTTGTCTTTCTTTTCCTAATTTGCCAAGAGCTTAAAAATGTTTTTTTTTTAAATATAATCAAAACTGTTTAACATAACAAGTCAATAACTTCTAAATGTATACTAACAAGCACCGCTGTAATAATTGTCGACCTTACCGCACTTATATAATTATGTAGACTGGCCTGACTTTATATATACATAATACTGATATAAATAATTGTACAAAAGAAATATGAACTTGTAGGGCACGGGACTACCTAATGTTTCCACTTTACAAAATATACATGTCTGACCAATGGGAACATCTCGGCTATTATCAATAATTATCTCAAGGTTTGGAACCTTTTTCTTCGTTCTTTCTAACCCACTGTATTTAGTACGTTCACTTTCAATGAGGACTTTAAAACCACGAATAAATGTATATTTTAAATGAACAAAAAAGTTTTACTCTTTCATAGTTACTAAAGCAGAAAAGCTCTAAAATTATTTCGTTGAACGGTTTTCTGCTTTATTCTTGCTGATGAATGAATGCCGATGTTAGCATTCAATAGAGGCGAACGGTTGATGACGTTACACAAATCTTGAAGACATTCAAACTTAAATACCCTATATCTTTAAAAGAAAGGTATTTTTGAAGATATGGTTTGTTATATTTAATGACAAAATGTTGGCGTTTACTTATCGTATCTTAAAACTATTATCATGAGAAAATGTAAGTTTTGTGACATTGATTTACCCGAACACAGTCGGTCAGTTTATGCTAGTACGGCTGTCGACGAGTTGAACGGTTGTCTACCCATTTGATTGTACGGCGTGATATTGTGTGAAGTGAAATATAACAACCGTTATCTCATGGACACTGTATATTTTACTTTTATGTATAATTAATAGCTGTAATCATATATGTTGATGTTTTAGACCGATTTTATGTGGAAGAGTATCTTGAAAAATTACGCAGCCAATATACTTGATTCAGAATATAACTCGAGTTTTCCAAACTGTAATAATGTTTTCTGGTTTTCATATTTTTTTATTTCTTTTTTAATCTTTAATATTTAAAATTGTTTTAATTCTGGAAAAAAAATTCACAATAAATTTTGACGAAAGTTTGTAACTACGTACAGATTTATACAGGACGGTCATTTGGGAAGGGAAATAACTTAAGAGTTTGTAAATCAAATAACGTTTAGTAGTTGTGTGCCTTAGCAACAGTGATAAAATACGCAAAGAAATGTTTAAAACTTTTTTATTGTTATTTTTGCAATATTGAGAGGAAAACACAAAAAGATCACAGTTCAGTATAATTTGGTGGTAAACTTGTTAACGTTTCAACAGTTAACACTTCTTCCTCTTTCTGAAATAAATAAAGTAAAAAGTGCACGAAAGGACTAGAATCTGAAGTAAATCTTTGTTATAAAAAGTTGTCTTTAATTAAGAGACCAAAACTCCAAAAAAGGTTCCACGTGTTTGATTCAGACAGGTATCATTGAAAGAACAATCCCTTATTAAGAATAACGGCATATCAAGTTGAAGAGGAATTATGTTTAATAATCTATGTTTAAATATTGAATACCAAGTTTACATACCTTGTTATTATTAAAGATAATAATCGTAATCAGAGCCTGCTTTGGAGGATTTCTTGCCAATACCGAGACCCCCGGAGCCAAGACCTGTGCTCGAGAACAAGAGGTTTATCACAAAGATAAACAAAAACACTGAAAATATGTAGGAGAACACAATAAGAACACATAAAAATATTTAATTTAGATTAGTACCTGTATGGTGAAGTTTAAAGTTTAAGATAACACGATAAGAACACATTTTGTCTTTAGTTTGTAAATCTTAGTTAGGACACGGTTTGAAACTTCTACAAGCTGTCACATTTTAAATTTTAGGGACACAATAGGAATTATTTACAAAATATTGTAGTAGTAGATTCTCAATACTAGTAATGTTCATTTTAGTAGTCATTTTTTAATTAACTATTTTATTGATAGTACATCTGTCTTTTTACTTCACACAATATAGAATATATTCTATTAACTCGTCAGATATGAAATATGAAACAGAATTTAATACTTACATTGTATGATATTTTCAAACATCCCCATGCCTCCTACAGAGCTTCCGGTGCCGCCGAGGAATCCGCCGAACCCTGAGGAGCCGGTCATATATGGAACATACCCATATCCCATGTTAGCCATGTATGGGTAGCTTGTGACCTTCTGTCCAGTCATTACACTTCCGTAACCGAGAGCCATACCAACACATGAGGCCAAAGTCAGACAGCCCAGATAAACCATTTTGTTCATACTCTAGAAAAGTGAAAAACTATAGAATTTAGCTGACCAGAAAAGGAAGTATTTAATGTAGAAAAATATGTTACATTTTATGTACATACCTATCAGTATATAACCAGTTGTAGACTATAAGAATCTTACACCGGCTGCCGGTACAGACCGGAATATCTAGCTCGAGGGTAACTGTTTACAGCGGTAACGAGGCTCTGCCGAGTTTCCGCTAAACAGTTACCCGAGAGCTAGATATTCCCGTCTGTACCAACAGCCGTTGTTTGATTCTTTTTCTTGCATATTACATGTTAATTATTTTCGGAACAGAAATTATAAAAACTGATATTCTCATTACTCACTTTTTCTTATAGTAGCGTATGAACATAGAACTTCATTCATAACGGAAAAATGACGTCATCCTAAGAACGCGATTCATTCATAAAAGGCGCGCGTCAATGACGTCATTTAAAGTCTTACATGGGGGGTGTAAGACAAAGTTTTCTAGCACCGGTGTTAACGGTAGATAAACCTGTCTGATATGCAAGAAAGAGTTTTCTAGCACCGGTGTAAACGGTAGATAATCCTGTCTGAGATGCAAGAAAACAGCTTCTACCAATGCGATCAGTGCAGTCTAAGATCAAGTGTCACATCACTGCAGACTGATCATGGTCTGCACTGTTCGCCATTGAGTCAGTATATATTTTGAAAATTTCCATAAAAATGATTAATGGTTTTGCCCTTACTGAAAGATGGACACGTCCATTTAAGATATTTAGCATTGGAAAGGTTAATTTACATATTTCAGGCAATCTGAACAATATGTATGGACACATTTAAGTAGTGTTGCTCAAGTTTGACGATGAATATATATCTTTAGTGTTTATATTTTATTTTATACATAATAATAATAATAATAATTAGTATTATAAGCTGCCAAACCTAGTCATCAATAAATTACGTTAATTAAAAGAAAAACTTCATTTTAACTTTTATATGACTTGTTCTAAAAATTGACCGAACATTTAAACGAAACAACATGTAAATTACTTACTTGTTGTATTTTTAAGATGCTACAGATATTGAGAAAGACGTTGATATTTTTGGTAATTATTTCTTTTTTAATTTTGGTTGTCAAGTTGGACGACAAATTGATTCTACTGTCCATCAACAGAGGCTGCATATTTATATGTATTTAACTTTGTACGGAAGAGGAAATTCCTATCCTTAAAACGGGAAGATGAAAACATTTCAATCAGCTCACCACTGATTTACGTAAACATATTTGTTAAAATCAGATCAATATTTAAAAAAAATCAATAATCAATTTATCATAGTAAGTAATGAATTAGTAATTATATTTTTTTATCAATCCGGTGTACATGATTTTAACCAACCTGAGGTCATCAAATGTATGTATTTTTTATGTAAAATTTTGTAATACACGTAGTTTAAAGTTATTTATGAAATTATTTGTTTTATTTAAATATTCAAAAGTATAGTAAACAGGTCAATAGTAACTACAAAATGCATTAAGCTTGATATTCCCCTCATAGACTTTTCTATAGCTTACATTTCAAGGCCCATTATGCACAAGAAATGTTTGTATGTTTATTTCTCAAAAACATTTTATTTTACTTATCCTGTTAAAGATCCTGTTACACATTTTTTTCATGGTTTTATTTCATTAATATGAGCTCAAATTAAGATTTGTCAATATTGTAAGTTCCAATAAGCATTATTTATAAAGAAATTACTGAATTTAACATTTCATGTAAATAAAAGGAGATAATAAGAAATTTATTTTTAAGAAATGAATGCATATAATTTATTGATTGAATATAATGTGCACAAATATTTGCAGTACACATTTTACATATTCTTCGATGTTTGAATATTTTTTTATTTGCATAATTATATACATATATAATGTTTTGCAAGTGTGGTATACACACAGTAACAATATGTATCACAAAACATAAAGGATCTTTAAAGTTTCCAAAAAGTTACTCACTGGCCAATTACCTGAATCATTTTTGCTCTGTTGCTTTTTGTTTTGGCAATTTAAGTCTGGAAGTCGAAATACTTCCTTGTTTACATTTTGCTTCTTTTATGACAAATAGAATCATATTCAGCGCTACTTATTTCAGAAGGAAAACATCTTATATGCTTTGAAATCGTTATTCAAAAGTTATAAAAATGCCCTATCTAAAGAATGAAATATTTATTCATTTCTGAGGCATAATGCGTCTCTAAAGCTGCATGCCTCCAGATAACCGAAAACATTCGAAGAAAATAAACTTTGAAATTTTGAAGAAAAAAAAATGAATAAGACATTTTAAAGTTCATTCCGTTAGGTGAAAAGGCGAGATTTTAGCATTTAATCATTCGAAGAAAATGAATTTTGAAACAAAAAATTAAGGTAAGCTTATAAAAACAATAATTAATGATGTGATGTGCAATGAATGATTGATTTTGAAGAACTTATCTCCACTTTTCTACTGCGTGAACATTTTGACCTTTATTTTGGTAACTCTGGTGGTGGTGGTGGGTTCATGAATGATACAAAATAAATGTATTATTTATTTGTATTAGATGAAGTACATGTTTCACCAAAAACTGAGTGATATACTGTGAGTGATTTAAATTTTATTTCACGGAGAAAACCCAATATTTCACTGGTTAGCATAAAAGTGCATTCACCTGTCAGTTGAATTTACAGAACATACATGTTTTACTTATAATTTTTGTGGTTTTATGATCAATCAATAATTACGTAAAGCAAACACCACTTCGCATTGATTCATCGTTCACAACCATATCTCATGTATTTGTAAATTAATTTATCGGTAGGAAAAAGAAGGCGCAGTCTTTAAATATGTCACACCCTTTCTTCCGCCAGATCATCTTATGTGCAAACCGGAAGTCAGTTTCAAGGATTCGCCTCAGACATGCGCATACTGGTGTAAAAAAAGAACAAAACTAAAATTTAGACATGGCAGGGAACAGAACCTGACTGTGGACTTGAGTTTTGAACATCAGTGCGAGTGATGCTGTCTATAATGAAAATTCCAAACAAACCAGTTACATTTAGTGATATGTGATTCATTAATGACGAGCCAATGTGTATACGTTTTGAATAGTAAGAGAATAAAAATGAAGGATTTATCTTAATACAGTACATCTAGACGCTTGCAGAAATCATGATCACAAATTCTTTCATTTTTCTTTCATTATCGTATATAAATCGACAGTTTATTGTCAGGCCGGTACCGAGTCAGGATTGTAAAATATTCTCATTAAATATATCTTTTAATTGGTTTTACTCTAATAATAATAAACAAACACATGTATAAACAGAATAAATATTTCCTAGAATACCATAAATTCATTACCTCTCATTTTCTATCAATGTTAGTTATGCTTTCATCAATTTTTATCTGCTATCTTTTCAGTTATCTTTTTCAATTATCCCTTTCAATTATCTTTTCCGTTCTGGCTCTTTTTAATTAAAATTCGAGCTATTAAAATTATATATGATTCCTTTGTTTACATGACGCCAAAATGAAAGTAGGGTTTCCCGTAAAAACTGGGTTAATAATGATGTCACGAAATAATGATAGTTAACAAAATGGCGGACAAATTGCAGACAATATTTGATTATGAAGAAAAATGACATATATAAGAACATATGAACAATCAATCATGATAGAATATGAATGAAAGTTAATTAAAAAATGAGACAATAATGTTATGTTTAAATGTTAACGCAGAATTTACTGAATATCGTATAAGCATGGCAAACAAATGCTGTCAATGAAACGGAGTGGGTGGGGAACATACTAGCACATCTCCCACCTTTCACAAAAATTGTCCGAATCTTTAACTGTGGTAAGATTATGGATTACCTTTATTTTCTTGTTCTTTTGTATTTTCTACTACTTAAATAATTGATGATCATCAAACTTTGTCTGAAGCATTCTTAGCTAGTCTTTTATCAAATGTTCTCACATAAATTGCTTTGCCTCTTTTAGGTGCCGCTAATACTAAAAATAGAAAAAAAATACACATTTTCTTCTACTGAACTAATGGATGGATTGTCACCAAATTTGTACGTAGTATTATCATTTAGTCTTTTATCATATTTGCTCATATTAATTTGCTTGGCCCCTTTTAGTGGCCAGAGGTAAAAATAGAAAAAAAATTAAAAGTTTTTCTTCTACTGAACTTATTGATGGATGATTACTAAACTTTGTTGTCTGTAGCATTGTTAGGTATTATTTTATATAAAGGCTCAAGTTTGAAAAGGAAATTAGAAAGCGGGAGTTGACATGCTTTACTTGCCAGATGTACAGTAGCAATAAACTTAAGGTTCCTTTTTATCAATCAATGTCGTGAAACTTTATAACTAGAGGGGCAAGTTGAATTGAGCTGGATTCGCTTTATTGCAAGTTCATTTGAAAAATTATTTCTAATACTGAAAGACAATTGTTTCTGGTGAGCGATTAAGGGACATCATGGACCTCTTGTTTGAACTTTTAAACGATCTACTCCTCGTAATATCATTTATAACACGTTTTTATCTGTTAAATTATCTTTCTATTTTTAGCAAATCAAAGTATAAGAGTCTGGATCAGGGAGCAGAGACATCCCACAATTATACGGATCTCAGGCACTGGATCGCAGATTTGCGAGATCTGCCTCGAACGGTTGGGTTCATGTCGTCTAACCTTTTAGGGGGAAAATACACATGCACTTTATTTACAAACAGTATTGAATGTTTCTTGACGAGACACTGACACTATCTTTATGTATTTTGAGTAATTTCCTCATTTATTATTTTAATAGCATACCCGTAGAAACCATAATGAGGCTTCATACATTAATCTAACTCCCGTACATGGGCAACTCCAGGTTTAAATGGAAATTCTTAAAGATTTAATCCACTTATCTCGTCACACTTACAGATATTTTGAGAGGCGATTTTGCGATGTATATATGAATTGTCGAATTTAATTTTGGATGAAAGGGATAAGAAAATGACGAGTTATATATATCGTGGCTGATTTGTGCCATTCGTGTTTTCGCCACGCGATCCCGCCAAACGAAAAGTAAAAAATTAACAAGTTAAAATGGCGGGGGCGCGGAGCGAGAAGTCGCTTATAAACGAGGGCGCGGAGCAAAGTTTAATAAATAAAAACTTTGCCCCGCGGGGCGCGGAGCGAAATGTAAGAAATAAAACGGCGGGGCGCGGAGTGAAAACACGCGCCCCTTCCATTTCAACTTGTTAATTCTCGACTTTTCGCTTGGCAGGATCGCGAAATTTTTATTTTTTAAAACTTCGTCCCACGCCCCCGCTAATGAACGTGTTTTGACGTTGAAATGAAAATAAAACAATAGTGTTTATGAAAAACTAGATCCTGTTGAATGTATCCGGTATATCTACATTGCCTTTTCCTGTTTTCATTATCAAGGATCTATTTGATTATTTATCATCAATATAGTCACGATGTTTTTTGATGTCTATCATCACAAACAATTTTAAATATTTTTATAACTGTCAACACCAAAGTCCGTCTCTTATTTTCACATTTTATATTTTAATAAACTATTAAAAAATAATGTGTTATTTATGTGCCATAATTTGGATGTAAAATTTGAATTCATAAAGTAGAGAGATTATTTAAATCGTAGAAAAAAATGTCGGGAATTTTAAAAGGATTTGTTTTCTTTATCGCATTTACGTTCTTTAAAGGTAAGTCATTTTGCAATCAATTACAATTAACAATTACCCCTAATTATTTTCAGTTGTATACATAGACCAAACGGTCAAACTGTTTTTGTTCTTAATATACCTATGTTCTAAATAGTGTTATTCATAACCATGTTAAAATAATATTTTTCATTCTCGATAAATGTTTTATCCATAAAGCCATGCTATTTGTTAATCAAAACCATCAAATGCACTTTTTAAAAAAAAAGAACATACAAAATTAAAATGTCAGAACTTGAAACGTGATTACGTCGCATAATGTTTGATGTATGATTTGGAATTTACTCAAAAATATTATTTATATATCCGTTGTTACATTTACAGTTTCTGGTGTGGATTTTTCTTTTAGCAAGGATAAAGTTTTACTGGGCAGCACAGGTACATTAACTATGACATGCGATGTGACTGGAACAGATGTTGATCTTTTTTACCGCATATGGATATATAAACTTAAATCAGCAACACGTTCTATAATACGTTGGGAAGTATTAGCTAAAATGGAATTTGGAAAAAATGCAACTACTTCTTTAAGTCAAGATATTGAAGCAGATAGTAAAGATTATGTTGCTAGAGGATCATGGGATTCTGACACACCTGCTAACACATATCTTGCATTGTCTATGAACATAGAAAAGTTAGTTTGCAATGATGTTACAGCTTATAAATGTGAGATGTATTATAAAAGTTCCACAACAGGAAGTATTGTACAGTCTTACAAAATTGCCACCTTCTCAGCATTTGGTAATTTCATTTTTATTGATAAAATACACCAATCAAAGTTTGTGTTATTTAATATAATACATCTGTTTAAGTTTATGTTTTTTTATTCCATTATACAAAAGGAGGTGTACATGTAATGTCAGCTGAATATAAAGCAATGTTCGCAGCATATAGTATGTGTTTCTTAATTTAAAGATAACGCATATTCTAAACCTTTAATACGTAAAAGTAGTACATCATACCATATATAAAACTTTGGTTGGCAAAATATGTAAAGTACATACTTGCATATACATGTATGAACGGATATTTGAGCCGCGCCATGACAAAACCAACATAATGCGTTTGCGACCAGCATGGATCCAGACCAGCCTGCGCATCCGGATCCATGTTGTTCGCTATCAGTTTCTCTACTTGTTATAGGGTTTGTAAGCGAACAGCATGGATCCTGATCAGACTGCGCAGATGCACAGGCTGGTCTGGTTCCATGCTGGTCGCAAACGCACTATGTTGGTTTTGTCATGGCGCGGCTCATTTTAGTTCGTTTTAACTGTGAACATATTTGACAAATGTGTATAGAATGACATGTTCATGTATTTATATGTAGTTTAAGTCTTCCTAACAAATGCACTGTCGTATAAGCTTTATCAACGTTATGTTTACCATCAGAATATCTTTAAGATTAAAAATAATCTTATAACTGTATCATACTTGCATAATTATAAGGCATGTTCTGTGTATTTGCTTGTTTGTTTTATTATCAGAATATTTTCATAATGAAATATAAAATCCTTAAATTTATTTAGCTAATAATGATAAAAATGATCATGCCCCAAATTATTTTATCCTTTCATTACTTGATGTGGAGCACTATAGTTTTAGTTTCTCATATTAAGAGCGTCAGCTGATAGCTTTATTACGGTTGTTCTAAATGATTTTAGAAATGACAACTTTTTCATCTTGTAGCAAGATATATTAACATATTGTAAATCACATAAGAATTTTCGATTTCTGTACTGTTATATATGGTGTGATGTCATATACATTGTACTATTTACAGAAATGTATATATTCATTTTTACGGTTAAGTGTCATTTATGTCGAAGTGTTAATTAACGTCGAATGTTCCTGAACAAATAAGAAATTCCCCTTTTTGGGTTTTTATTTTTTTTAACACTCTTCCCACTGTCTCTTAAAAGCAAACTTTTTGGGGCAAAGAGTGTCTTTTTTTTCGACCCTACAACCGGTTTTAAACCCCCAAGCGTTTTTTTCCCCCGACCTTTCGGGTTCCCTTTTGGGGTGTCCTTCGATGTTGTCTTTGTGTTTAAAACTTGGTAATTTATTAGGGGACAGTTCGAAATTTGACCATTTTGTTAGTTGTTTTTCCAGGGGTAAATTTCCTTTACAAAATTTTTTCACTTGCCCCAACCCAACCCCTTTTCCCCCAAAATTTCCCCCTTCTCCCTTTTAAATTTCGTTATTAGCCATTATGATTGTAAGGGTTTATTTTTTTTTCTTCTTTTTTAAAATTAAAATTTTAAAACAGTTATTGGCATGTACTTTCTTCTTTTCGGCCCTAGTGCGTGCTCTTTCCTATTTTTGTTCGGTAACCTTCTGGGTTTCCCTACAAGTGTGGCTAGGTTTTTTCCGAGGACAACAATGTATGTAGAGAAAAATATAATCACGGGTTATTATCTATACAAAATCATGTGTGTCTTAAGAGCAATCACAGTAGCCTTTAAAACGATTATAATTCTGACCCACTCCGTATATCTAGGCGTCCTGTCATGTACTTTGATCCCCCCCCCCCCAAAAAAAAAAAAGCTCAAAATTTCATCAGACAGAATTGTTAGCACACGACAATATTTCCAGCATGCATAGGGTTAAGAATAAATCTCTTTCACTCCCCTCTTGCCGAACAATTTATAACATAAGGATATATAAGAAGAAATGACAGCGTTAATAAAATATTATATTAACCATTTTATGTTTACAATAACAATTCCAGTTAAACCTCAAGTGACATCATTAATTACAAGGAAGAATGGTTTTGTAGTACAAGGAATGTCACCATCTGACATAGCCACTGCTGAGGTAGGCGATGAGTTAGAACTTACATGTACTGCGAATATAGGTAGCTTAAAAGGAACACTCATTCGGTGGAATAGAACATCTGAAACTTCACCAACCAATGAATTTATTGGCTACGAACCACCTCAAGGTACTGTTGATGAAGGCACTGAAATTAGTGACAATCAGTGCGGATATACCCGAGTGGCGTCAATCAAGTACAACGCAACAGCAGCCGATGCCAAAAGGGATAACAATCTGGCATTCGAGTGTTATGTTACCGTTACTGGAGATCCGTATGGGAAATCTTTCACCTCTGAAAATAATCCGAGATTTTATACTGACGTCAGTAAGTTATCTATAACATTGATCAATGTTTTTGTATAGATGATAATATCTTGCCCTTAAAGTCAAAAATATTGTCAGAGCTAAACAAAAGTAAGGCCCTTAAACTGTCTTTTAAAACCTTATAGATAACTACCATGTTTGTACACATTTATATACAGGATGTATATACTATATAAGTGGATATTTTTGCGTCAAAATTTGATTTCATTAATTAAGCAGGTACATGTTAAGAATATGCTATTATTTTATTAATTCCATTCAGTTTTTAATACCTATATTATTTATATAATCAATTGAATTATACATTGTTAGTTTGATAAAGGGCCTGGTCATATTTTGAAACATCATTTTGTTATATGAATAACTGATTGTGTTATTAACACACATATATATTTTCATTATAACATTTATGATTTGTTAAGACCAAACTTAAACAAACAAGCAATGAGAGAAAACAATCTCATTACCTGTCAGTCAAATTTACTCATGTAAGATGCTGTATGGAAACTTGTTTTAAAATGATAGAAACACATTTGCCTAAAAAGAAATAATTTTTACGCTGCGAATAATTTCAATTACCAAAATCCCAAATATTTTCACGTCGCAAAATTAACCACTTATACAGTATGTGCACTGTTAAAGATGGCAAGGAAAAGAAATTTGCCTCTTTAAGAAGTCACAGTCACTGTATACCTCTGGACAATTTTTTTCACATTCACTTTTAACGCGTTGTTAATGGTTTTGTTGGAGTTTTGCAACACATAGGCAAATCTGTTTAATCCTTTATTTAGTTGTGAAAATTTATCTTTCAAAAGCCTAATAAAACACATCATCCCTTGCTGTTACTCATGAACAACAGGATTTAAATACCTGATAGGATACATCCTTGTGTATATTTGGTTTGATCCTTTGCTATTTTATCGGCTTTTCTTGTACAATAATTTTTGTCGGAGTTATGGTCCCTTAATTATTCTTATTCTTATAGATTTTCTGGACTACTACCCTTATACTACTTGTGCAAATTAATGCAACTTTACAGGATTGATCATTAGCTCAAGTACTTGCGAATATTAAACGTGCTTTCTGCTTAAATGATTTTTGCCAAGTTATTGCAATGGAATAAAAAAGGATTTTATTGTGTAACCAGCTGCACAAAAGATTGTATGTACGACTTCTCTGAAATAACTAGTGCAATTTCATCCAAACTTAACAGGAATGATCAATACCATGTCTAGTTGTGCATTTTTTGTTCAACGATTTTTGTTAGAGTTATGACCCTTTAATATTTTTTTTAAAATGTGTCCGGACTTCTCCTCTTGAATCACTAATGCAATTTCAATAAAAGTTTGGTTCGATAGCTCAGGTCCTTGTGCATATTTCACGGGTTTGCCTGTTGAATAATTTTTGGCTGAGTTATGGCCTTTGAATAAAAACCTGTTTTGCCCAGTTAATGATTTCTGTGTCTATTTGTACACAGTGCAACAGGCAATTGGCTATCATGAGGTAACACACGTGTGGTCACTGAACTTGTTTTATTACAGATAACCAAAGTAGTGGAGAGACAAACCGTACTATGAGTACAACAGGTAAAACAGCAACTTGTTCAATGCTCTTTTATATGTAGATGAGTTAAGTATATTACTCTTACTAGCTCTAATCTAATGGAAAAAGGAAAAGGTAAAATAAAATATGGGCCTTTATGCATAATATTTGTTTTCATGTTGCCTGAAATTGAGATATTTCTTATTTGACAGGCGCCTTGTTGAAAAAAAGATATTATTATCCCTCACTTTTTATATTGTCAATTTCCCTAAGGCCAATGGGAGTTATTATTTTCTCGATTCAATGTAATTGGCTACGTAGGGCCATGCCCAGAATGACAATGTGCTGCTGAGGATTTTTTATTATAGCAAATACTGCTTTTTGCGTCTAAATTTAACAGTGAATGTAAACATCCGGTCAAGACAACCGGTGACAAAATTGCAATTCATAATGGGTCAGGTCTAAGGCGAATATTTATCAGGCAAATAAATGGAACAAAGCAGGATTTCTAAAGAATTTGATCATTGAAGCTAATTCTAAACCTGTTTTAGGCAGATCTAAAATTCTAATCAGAAGTATGATATCTTATAAATTCGCACAAGAATGATTGAGAGTAAAATATTAAGACTATTCTGGATCACCAGCTCAAGACCCTTATGTATGGGTATGTGTTTTTATTTTTTTATGAAATACAGAACATTGAATATTTTATGAATGAGTAAAGGTATCAAAATGTACAAAGTAAATTCTCAACTTAAACAGCTCAGTTAACAGTTTTAGTGAAAGTTTGTTCTGTTTTGTTAGGTAGTTTTATACCATTTCCGTATTTGTTCAATATACAATAAATAACACATAAGTTTGTGAGCAACAGTTAGAAGGTTGTCTTCACCTTTACATCAGGTCCATTTTGTCATATCTATTTCGTTTTGTTACCTGTATTTTCCCACGTTTTAAGCTATCATTTGGAGAATAATGTGAACAGGCTATGATGAATTATTTCAGCAGATAGTATACCCGCATATATTTAACAAAATAATTATCATATTTAAAACTTATTTCATAATAAACCACAAATTTATGAAAACAACATAATTTTACCATTTATAGATGTTATAAAAAACATTTCATTAGGTACAACTTTAAATCCATTAGATATCTTTTTGTGTAAATGAGTGAGAGTATAAATATATAAAAACAACCTTCTTCATTGATTTTATGCGAATGAAGTCTTTGTAACGAGATATGTTATTTAGAGCGGCACTATCAATACTTATATAGTGCTATTGTTATTGCAGATGGAAACGACATAAGTATAGCAGCAGGAGCTATCGCCGCGATTGTCACTGCGTCACTAATTGTTAGTGTTCTAATCGGTGCGGTTTGTATATGGCTTGTTTTAAAAAGAAAACGGGCAGAAACAGGTACTTTAAATTACATGTAGTTTTACTTTAAAATGTATGATTTTTCAAATTTACTTTGAAAGAAAATGTATAGGAAAAGACTTGATTTTCACTAAATGTTCCATAAATTAATAGACTAATGACACCAAAATCTGTGTTTTTGACACTCGTGAAACAGTTCAGGATTAAAAACAAGTTAACATATCTAATATCTTATTTTTTGAAATAGGCCTGATGAATCAAGATCAGCATCAGCCAACATCAGTGTCACGAGATACAGAATTAAATGTATTGTCACTTTCACCGTAAGCAGCCATAAATTCTAGTTTTATATTGCTTGAAATAGATATTTATTGCTTTTTTTTGCTCCATGGTTTTATCACTTACAACTAAATGCACTAATAGACTAAATATGAATAACATGAATATTACAAACATAAACAAATTATTACATAGCCATATTTCTAATTTGTTTGGAAAAAAAAAACAGAAAAAAGATGAATCATGCTGTATTTACAAGACCACATAACAAAATCGTATTTTATTTTATGCTTTTCACACAGTGAAAATTATCAAAATATAATTTCACTTTTTTCAATGACGAAACTACTTTTTCAAGATTTTCCCCATGTGGTACATCAATTTTATTTTTACTGACAATTCTGACAATGTCAGACTGTTAAAAGAAATAGCAAAGCTGAAATAGATAAATAACTTAAATGTCAAAAGTAATAAAGAGAGAAAACTTACTTCTATTCATTCAAATTCCAATCACAAAATTTCGTCTCTAAATTTTTTTGTTTCGTTTTTTCAGTCTGAAAAATATATTCCTTCCCCATGCAAAACTGCTCTTGATGACATTTGGGCATATTAAAGTATCCTACGAGCAATAACTGCCGTGTGCTTTATGAAAAATTGAAAAGCATTGACAGCCATCACTCGTAGAATAAGTAAAACAACCCAGCGTTCCTTAGAAGGCTTCCAAGTTTTCCATTTTCCTATCTCCCTTTCTGAATGTTTTCACTTCTGTCAACACTTATTTTTTTGTCTGTTACAATCATCAAATAAGTTTTCTTTCTTTTAAAAAGGTGTATGACTAACAAATCCAAATTATATCCCTCTGAATCTTACACAATTATTTTCCTCCCATGAAATACACAACTTTAAAAAATGGCTGCCACTTACATTATACAAAGCAAGGTCTAATATAAATTCGCAGTAAGTAACAGAAATATGGATGGATGGTTGGACTTTTTCTCCTACAAGAATTGTTTGTTTTTATTATTAAAACAAGCGATCATTCATATTTTTTTAATAAAATGAATAAATATCACCGTCATTTAACCTTGATTGGCGGACTTATTTTTCAGCTCAAGACTTCTTGTTTTTAATGAGAAATTCCGTCTAAATGGGGCTCTCAATGGGGGAAACAGATTTTAATATGAACGTTAAAATTATGGAAATTTCGTTTTAGCTTGTTTTAAAGCATAAAATAAAAAGAAAATTTGTCTGTTTTTTGTGTAAGATGTAATTTTATTTCATCTCGTGAACTTTAAAAACAGTATTCTCACGAGTGGCTACGCCACTCGTGAGAATACTGTTTTTAAAGCCCACTCGATGAAATAAAATTTCATCTTACACACAAACAAACAAATATCCTCTATATTTTTATAAATATTTTCTAGAAATACCTACGAACAACTTCAAAATGGAACAGATACTGAAAGCAGGATGACTTATGATCTCTTAGACGGTATTTACCGATTTTTTTATAATTTACATTGCGAATTATTTAACTAATGTTTATTGATATATTAACGCATAGTTTTGGCATCTGTATATTTTACTGGTTCATTGCTGATATCATATCACATGGATTTTGACATAAGTATGTTTATTAAACAAACAAAATCGGTCTGAGTGGTATCTTATCAACTTATCTGTTGTTAAAATGCGTTGTTATTGATCACGAAGACAATAGCCTGGAGTCCTCCGCATCAAAACGATAGAAAAGTGTATATAGATAAGAGCAAACCGGCTCGATGTCATTTCAATACTAAAATTATTACGAAAAAACAAATAAGGAACATCACCTTTAGCTACTTTTCCAAGTTCAGGTTGCCGGGATTCATATTTAGCTGCTTTATCACGCATTTAATGTTCACTTACTTAAACTCGATAGAAATAATAAGAAAATATTTTTTTTCATTTTAAGAAAAGTAAGTTTGTCCAGTCCTCAAGTATTGTTTTTTATTAATTCACCAACAATTAAATCTTGTGTTTTTGCTGGAGGACCTTAATAAACCTGTCTTCAACCTCGAATATTAAATGAGTAGCAAAATTTAAAATCTAACACATTTTATTTATTGTCATATGTGCTTATTATATCACATACTCGTATAGTTTGACTTTATTAAGTAATTTTTACTGATACATGTATATTCAAATATGTAAAGTTCAATGTTAAGTCGATTTAATAGTATTTTTTAAGTGACATTATTCTCATATTGTCATTGTCAAGTTGACCTGTATTGACTATATTTTTTTCATAAGATTGACTGATACAATGATGATTGGCCAAAGTTGATGTTGGAAAATGTTTGCATAAAGTTTTAATTATAATTGTTTTATCATATGCATAAATGTATGGTAAATCGAAATTCTGTTGTGTTCTGGTATTAACTCGGTTATTGTTATTTGTTTTTTGAAGGTCAGTTTGCAAAAAAAGTTATATTCATGCATCATTTGTAAATGGACTATATCCATTTTTATTTATGTCAACATTTACCTCCTGATGTATACTTAATGTGTACAAATAAATTTTGCATTTTCTCTTGTCACTTATGCCATAAATAAAAGTCCAACAATAGTTATGTTATTTTTATGTTTTCAGCTTCAGCAAATCCCAGCGCGGTACCAAACAGGTAAGGAACTAAAATTATAAAGCTCAAACTGAAGTTACCACTGCTGTCAATAATGTTTTATTAAATAATTATGATAAGGAATTTACATACCTAGTTGTATTGAAATTATATGATTCTAATATTTTGAATAAACCATTCACTTCATAATACCCTGACGTTTTTTTAATCATTTATACATATCTATAACTTCAGCCAATCACAGTATGAGAGTCTTGAACGGGAAGCAGGGGTATCTCAAACGTATGCAGATCTAAAGCTTGGCCGATAAAACATATTGGCAGATTTGAAAGATCTATCTCGCTGCTTGGGTTCCTTTCAGTTTATAAATGTTTTTGTACACAATCTTTAACTATCTATGATTTTAAGGTTTATTCATAAATACAATAAATATTATGTAGGGATTATGCCAGGACCAGACGATGTCTTCGTGCAATGGAAGTTATTCCAGCAATCCGAGTTCGATCGAACAAACTAGTTGTATAGATGTGGAAGGGAAAATCAAATGTATTTTCATCTTTTTCCTTTTCAATAAGATAACTCGGCTTAAAGAGTTCTTCGTAATTATTTTTCCACTTTAAAGGGCCATATGCACTAGTTATAAATGTTTTTTGACACAATCTTAACCTGTCTAAGATTTTGAGGTTTATTTGTACATACAACAAAACAATAAACATTATATGGCGATTACTTTGAGCGAAGGGAGTTATTCGAGCAATCCGAGTTCGAGCGAACCAAGTTAACTTTAGTTGTATAGGTGTGACAGGCAGTCAATTATTATCTTATCCATTAGATAACTCGGCTTTAAAGGGTGATTCTTCGTATTTTTTTTTTTTCATTTTCTCCAGTTTTAAGGGCTCATATCATGCCGACGGAAGCTATTAATATCCAGTTCAAAGTGTAAAAATTAACAAAGGACAATAACTCCAAAATAAGGCAGAGCAGAGTTATGGTTCTTTTACACTGCACATCTACTTAATGAGATCTATCTACTTACAAAGTTTCTTGTAGATATCTTTCATGGTTTCAGAGTTATTCCCCAGACAAAGTTCAAATTGTAAAAATGAACAAAAGGCACTAACTCCAAAATTAGTTACGGCAGAGTTATTGTTCTTTCGAACTGCATTTTTACCCAATGTGATCTATCTACCTTCAACGTTTCAAGTTGTTATTTCTAACAGTTTCAAAGTTATGTCCCAGACAAACTTCACTATTTTCAAATGAACTGTTTTCTTTAATCAGCTTTCATGAAGAGAACTCTACATGTATATAAAGATTTTCTACTAAATATATAGATTAAAATATGAAAATGTTATATTTGTATTTTACATAATGTACAACACGGTTCTCCTTCCATTAATATTGTCAAATTCAATCATTTTAAGTTTGTAATAGCACATGTATTGATAAACAAGTTCATTTCATGCCTACATCTTCTAGAATATAACCGATGCACGTTCGCATTTTACCACTTGGTGTACCAATTTAAGATCCTTGCCTTTTATTTATTTAATGAGTCCCAATTCCGTATCAAATCCTTATTGTAATTAAAGTAATGTCAAGTTCGGTCACAAAGTCCAAAAATGTTGATGTGACATAAAGAATGAATTAAATAGAGCAAAAAAACAGAATCCTTGAAGAACGCCCAACATGATAAAATTGTAAAATGTTGCAGGCTCGGTTTGATTGAGCCTGTTCATGGACGGTACTGGAAAGTGCAAGTTACCGTCCACGCCCCCTAGCACCGGCTTAAGCAGAATTCAACATTTAAACATGAAACAGTAAAATTTTGAATTTAGAAACATCCGCAGATGTGTTCATACGGCGGTTATCATATAACCTTCAATGTGACACAGTAGTGCCATTCCATGAAAAGCGGCGTATGGTCCCCAAGTAATAAAAAGCGTGTGCCCTAAACGAGAAAAGAATGGGCGGAACTAATTAAAATAGAATTTTGATAGGGGATCAGAGGTTATGAAGCCTGCATATCACAGATAAGACGTCAAAAGACAAATTTAAAAAGCAGGCAACATATCCTAAGGGTGATTCAACATTATTCAAGTAGGAATATTGGAACCACCCAACTAGAAAATGCCGAAAAGTTGAAACTAAAAATACCACAACAACGAAATAATGTCGGGTTGGAAAAGATCTCCCAAGGGTCCCAAAATAAAAAATTTATTGATTAAAAGTACGGGTTGGGCTTTTTTCAGCCGCCACATGTGTTTATCGTACACAGCCGCAAAACCTTTATCAGACTCGGCTAACACCTTGTCTAATGTTTGTTTTGTGTTTTCTCCATCCTGGATGGAAACACAACGGAAAATTCGCACCATTTCATGTATCATATAGTGAGTAATAAACTAAATAACCTGAAACCCCTACATCATCTTGCTATTCAAATGTAAGGTCATCGAACAATTTGAATGTTGGAAGGTTACAGCTTGACAAACATTTGTAACATATCTGTTCACTACCCTACAATAAATATTTAAGATGAGAAATAAATTTTACTAACCTACAATAAATATTTAAGATAAAAAATCTATTTTACTTCCCTTCAATAAATATTTAAGATTTTCCGGGGCATAAATTAGTTAAGACGGAACATACTTTTTTTAGGTCATGGGAAGTTTTAAGAAACTTTCGGAAAAGAAATATGCACATTTGGTTAAAATCAATTTGCTCCAACCAAAATAAATCAACCGAAATGGAAAGTATTGCTTATTGCTGCCAACAAATCATTGCTTTTGAAGATATTATTGGTTAAAGGCGAAAGATAATATATCCTTGCGAACAAAATAAAGGTGTTTATTTGACAAATCTGTATTAAAAGTTGGACTAAACTGCAAGTTAAAATAAATTCCATATTAGTGAAATGCCGATTATGACTGTTCTAGTTGCAGGCTTTCATTTGGCCTTAATCAAAAAAGTAGGAAAAATAGGAAAGTTTGCAGGCAAAAATTAAGAAATAGTAGAAACATTTTCAGTAAAAATGTAGGAATAATAGGAATTATTTAACATGAATGCACCATTATAACAATGTACTTTTAATGTTCGAAATGTTAAAGTGAACTGCTACCTTGATTAGTTGTTATTCTCACCATTAAAGAAAGTTTTGTTACTTGCAAATTTCTGCAGCATCCATTTCAGTTATGTGTCCTGTCCATAATTTTGTCAATTGTGGATAAATTTTGAATTTCTTTTATATAAATATGAATCACATTGGCATGATGTTTTGTGACCTAATTAAAGGTTCATACTTCAATGGTCCATGTCACACTTTGACAAGTGGATAAAATAATACGATAAAACACTAATGATATCTAAAACTTTTTACTTCATTAAAATTGTGCAACATTTACATGAATTTTTAAAAGTGCATATTTCATTATTATAATGTTTGCCTTATCTTTACTTGTTAATGTTTAAACCTAAAGCTAATTTAAGGAAATTGAAATCATAACTGGGATAAAATGATGCGCATCCGAACGACAAACAGTGATTTTATCAAGCGATAAAATCACCGATTTGAATATTATTATTTCAATTCTAACACGACATCAACAAATAAATGCTGCCATACCAGATATTAACCAAAAGTGTGCCTGATTTGTTTTAGTGGTTATGTCACGTGTATAATAATTACGTCACATGTCTTAAATATGAAACGTCAAACTGTGATTTTATTGCATAATAACGCATACTTTCGGTTCTTCTATGTTCAATGGGGAAAAAAGCGGATCGTGTTAGAATAATTTATATTACCTCCTCGTCTATGAGTCTACCCTGTATCAGACTGATAACATTCCCTTTCCAAGAAATGTTAACTTCTCCCTCTCGTCAACTTGCCAGACAAAATTGGGAGTGGGTGATTGGGGTGACTAGCTCCTCAGGAGATATTCACCAATAAATTTTATCAAACAAGGCCAAGAAATGATGTTTGAAAAGAATAATGCAAGAAAAAAAGCTATGTTGAAATAATCTATATGAGGTTTTCAGGAAGATTTTTTTAACCGCAAATTTTGCATAACAGAGAGACATTATTCTATATTTATATATTTCTTGGAAATATGTTAAATCATTAGGAGGTAATCATGTTATACATTTCAGATTTATACTCCCACCAGATGACATTTACTAACATTGCGTTTAAAAAAAACCATTTCAGTCAACTTTTTTTTACTACAAAATTTAGTATAATTGGCGTTAAAACATAAAAAAAGAAAAACAATTGTAGTGTGTAATTATGTCATGCGCTTGATTTTAAACATTCTTGAAGATAATTGGTGTCTTAGATCTGAACGAACGACAAAAAAAGATAAATGTCGTCATAAATGACCATCCAATTTGTTTGAGAGAGAAATGATAAATAATAAAACAACTATAACTAAAGCTATTCTTTGTTTTTGACTAAAGATAAAACCAATGGTATGATAAAAACACAGAACTAAGAAAGATGACTATTGTTTTCAAGTGTCTGTTTAAAAGGTTATGTCATTTTGAGCAATTATATCATATGCTTAATACATTAAAGCAAAATTATAAATTCATAGCATTCATATACATTAAAGACACAATAAACTTTTTTATCTTTTAAAGATTGAATTTTATGTTTACGTTTACGTAATTGTTTCTCTAGAACTTTGCTGAGTTGATTATAAGTTCATAGTTTTGGGCTTAATTGATAACTAATTTTGAATCCTTTTGTGATCACATTAATAAATCGATTTTGTCATAAACGCTGAGCAACCTAAACTATTTACTTGCAGACCTAGATTTCGAACTGAAGAGCGTTTATGTTGAAACTATCATCCAGCGAAGAAACGCCATTCTAGAAAAACATTATATAACGTTATTTTCCGGCAGGTTTTGTCGCTTCATTTGTTTATTTTTGTTGTTCAACCTAACTGATCGGTCAAAGAAACATCTGTTATAACAATGATGTCAAAAAAATATAAGTGGAATTGAGGAGTCTATTTTTATCAGATTGCTCACTTTTATTTTGCACGGAGTATTTTTATTGGTTCGAGGTTTTCACATGACCAATGAAAAGACTCCATACCAATATAAATAGAACCAATCTGCTGCATCAGTTACTTTTATTTTTTTGACATTTCTCGAAAAAAACTTCGTTATAGTTTCACATGATGATTTAATAAAAAAGTTATTACAAAATGATAATAACATTTTATCATATCTTAAATGCGCAATACAAAATATTAATACATGTTTCTTCAGAAAGTTTAGTATAATAAATTAGATGAAGCCAATTCTTTACCTAAAATACATTAATTATCTTTCTAGAAATTGTATAAGTCGAGTATAGCTTGTAAAAAAGAAAATTTACCCCTTACTTTTAAAGAGAATAATGATGAAAAGAACGTTTTGAATGGGGTCGCTTATTTTCTTTGATTTTTAAGCTGTAGACGGAACTCATTAAAAATTAAATACCATGTGTTAAAAAATATGAGCCTAAACAGAAGACAATTTCAGAAGACGTTAGAACCGTAACACTTCGGAAAAATTGAAAAGGAGTGATTGTTTAATTGTTTTAACTATCAATGGATAAATTTGCCTTCCTGCAGCTATTATTTCTAGTTTTGATAACATGTGTTAAACTTAATCAATCTTTTCTTATAAGATATATATTTTTGTCCGTAAAGACAGTGAGAAGACCAATCTTAGCTCGTGCGCGGCTGATTTCCTATTCAAGGTAAAAGTTTTACGATATTGCATGTTCATTATTAAATATACAAAAATGTAGTTTTATTTTCTGTACCGTGCAAGTTTGGCATTTTTTGATACTTAAGTTGTAAAAAAAATATTCTCGTCTATGAAATTTGGGAAAAAAGAACATGAAAAAACATTAAAACTAACTTTTAATAAATTTGTTTCTTGCGAGATAACCAACACAGTTAATGCAAAAGTAAGTTCATAGTAATGAAATACATCCTTTCAAGTTGCCGCCCTTTGGTGACGCCATTGCTGATGTTGAGTATGTTAATAAAGTGAAATAAAGGTCTAAATCCTAACTCTTATAAGACGCTCAGAGTTTAATTACCAAAATGTGTATTACTAAATAAGAATTTACCTAACCCGATGGTGAAAATGAATTAAAACTTTTCTCATAGAAAGCTTAACGTTAATTTTCGTGTAAGATCGTAATAATCATTTTCGTTTGATTCTAAACATGTCACATCGTGTTTTACTACCCACTTACTTTTCACGTAAGCAACAGTTATATAGTGTTTCAAAAATGTAAGTGCTCTGTAGTTTCGAAAAATAGTGACGTTATAATTCATATAATTAAGATATTTCTTTTAGATGATCATGTACTTTGATTACACTGTTCAAACAATTAATAACAAGATTTTTCTATTTTCCTCATTATTAAGATAATGAGATAAAGGTTTGTAATGCG